TTTAAGCTGTTTCAGGTTTGTTCATTCCTGAGATTAGGGGACATTTAAATTAAATAAAATTTTCAACCCAAGATATTTAATTTATTCAAGGGCCACCCTTGTAAAAATGACAGGTTTCAATACAGCAAAGATTCCATTGCAGAAGAAAAATTTCTTGTGTGATAAACATTTAACTCTTGAGATTCAGCAACATAATTTGGATTGACATCTTTAATTTGCTAAAGTATCCCCCACCTCCTGCCCCATCATCAAAAGCCTGACTGTTATTTTGGCCTATCTGTGACACAAATTAAAACATTTCCCCAAGGACTTGGAAATTTTTAAGAGTTTGAGGTTGAAAAAAAATGCTTTTTTGTAGTATATTCAAGTACTTAAAGCTATCTATTGAGAGAATTAGTTATGAAATTGCAATATAAAACTGCCACTAAACATACTGTAAAATTGGATTCTAGAATTATGAAACTTTAACTGAGTGATACTAGTGAAAAAGTAGTAAAAAAATACCCATTTGATATTTAGCCTACCTTTAAATACACAGGGAAAAAGAGATTGTGAACCTTCTTCATATTCCACCCATATGTGTATTGGAGTGTCCTTTGTGCCACTTGAGCACTTCCTTTTGTTTGCAAACCCTTCTGTAGCAGGTGATATTTGTTCACCTTAGCAACCAGACAAGTGCCTGTAAACTTCCATATGTTTTCCTGGCAATGAACAGCATCCAGGACTGTTCCGTTACTGCTGTAATTGGCATCCGGAGGGGGCGTGGTTTTGTGTTCTGCCTGCATCCCACAGATGGGGTTGTGCTTGTTTGTGTGGACCGGTTGCTGGAATGCCGTGGCCCAGTACTGGTTCACAGACTGGGGGTTGGGGACCCCTGCCTTATTGGATTTAAGATAGTTGGGCCTTTTCTTGAAAAGAAAGTTTGATCCCTTCAAAATCAGATGACTCCTTTTGGGGTGATATATCCAGAGTCCAAAGGCTGTCTAGAATGTTAGGAAGTTAGAAACAGATCTGTGAACATCTAAAAACAAAGTCATAACTAGTAGCCAGCATGGGTTTGTTAAAAACAGATCATGCCAAACCAATCTTATTTCTTTGACAAAGTGACTAAATTAATAGAGCAGCGAAATGCTGTGGACATAGTATACTTAGACTTCAGCAAGGCATTCGACAAAGTAGACCATAACCTACTTCTTGGTAAACTAGAGAAAACAGCATCACCACCAGATGGATTTGTAACTGTCTGACAAACCGTACTCAACGAGTAGTCCTTAATGGTACTACATCTACATGGAGGGAAGTAAGCAGTGGAGTACCACAAGGTTCTGTCTTAGGCCCAGTACTCTTCAATATCTTCATAAATTACTTAGATGAGAGAATAGAAGGAGAACGCATCAAATTTGCGGATGACACTAAGCTGGCAGGCATGGTCAACATCCCAGAAGACGAGCTCAGGATCCAAAAACATCTTGACAGACTTGAACAATGGGCCCTATCTAACAACATAAAATTTAATGTACAAATTACTGGCTCAAAAACAGTAACTGTGAGAGGGACCTTGTAGTCCTAGTGGACGATCACTTAAATATGAGCCAGCAGTGTGCAGCCGCCGCCAAAAAAACCTAATCCAATCCTTGGGTATATAAACAACGGCATAGAATCAAAATCATGTGAAGTATTAGTGCCGCTTTATAAATCCTTAGTAAGACCACACCTGAAATACTATTTCTCAACGAATTTCTACAACTCCTGTGCTTAATTGATAAAACAATAGTTTAGCTGGTTGTATGGGGCCACTAGTACTTCTTTGTCAAATCTCAGTAAGACCATACCTGGAATACTGCATCCAGTTTTGGTCACCACATTACAAAAAAGATGTTGAAACTTTAGGAAAAAGTGCAAAGAAGAGCAACTAAGATGATTAAGGGCCTGGAGACAAAAGCATATGAAGAAACATTACAGGATTTGAGTATGGCCAGTCTAGAGAAAAGATGGACTAGGGGTGATATGGTAGCACTATTCCAGTATTTGAGGGGCTGCCACAAAGAAGAGGGGGTCAACTTATTTTCCAAAGCACTAGAAGGCAAGACAAGAAACAATGGATGGAAACTACTCAAGGAGAGAAGCAACCTAGAACTAAGGAGAAACTTCCTAACAGCAAGGACAATTGACCAGTGGAATAGCTTGCAGGTCAGAAGTTGTGGGTGCTTCATCACTAGAAGTTTTAAAGAAAAGATTGGGCACCCACCTATCTGAAATGGTATAGGGTTGGACTAGAAGACTAGAAGAACTTCAAGGTCCCTTCCAGCTGTCAACGCTGCAAATACTGTATATTCTTGCTTTGACAATATGCAGAACTGTCTGGTATTTTTATAGTTAAATCAGGCAACAGTGAAAGGGGAGGAGAATAAGGAAAAGAATCTCAGATCTAAGCATTTCCACCTTGCCGTACTGACATCTCTGTAACCTTAATAAAGGTT